TGGTAGTGAAATTTCTCAGTGGTTGTATAATAAAGAAGGCAGAGGTATGTAGAAAGAACAGGAGCACACAATGGCTAGTGCATGCAGAACACATCATATGGAAAAGTTCAATATAAATTCTGTAAATGAATAACTACAGATTTTGTAAATAAGGATAACTCACTACTACAGCCTATTTACAAGTGACAAAATGGATTGGATTCTTTTATGACACAATGTTTTATAGAGCATATGAGAAGAGTAATAAATATGAATACAAGGTAAGATAATGTCAGAGTTTAAAAATGTTCCAGAACCGTTAATGAAAGTCTAGCACACTCAAAGGGACAGTCAGGTATACATGTTTCCAATGTAAATGAGACTATTCAATTTAGAGATGCTATCTGTGATTTTTAAAATATAAGAAGAGAATCCATTTCATAAAAAGGGTATCCTATTAATTAATAAAAGAGAGAGTTATAGACTACATGAACCTCCCAGAACCATTAAGAATCTGGTCCAAATTTTCATTTGGCAGGCAATTTGCTGAATTGTGTGCATCTGTGGGTAAGAGGAAAATGTTACAACTCAGGGTGGATAATAGTCTGTCTAATGGCTTTCCTGTTAATTGGATTAACTTCGTAGGATAGAAGTAGACCTGATTCTGTTAGAGAATATGTTCCTTGCTCAGGGCAGTACCTTTCAGACAACATGATTACATGATTTTACCTGGCCATTTAGTGTTAACCTAAGACCATGCAAAAATGAATAATGCATCTCCAAATACCCATATTATAGCAAAATATATAACACTCAGCAAAATGATCTGACAGAGAGAGCATTGCCTAAAAGTCAAGTCTACTGAGCTTCTGTTCCAAATCCAGTTCCAATTAAATGTACCAATTTAATTGTTACTTATCTGCTGTCTTCCTATTTCCTTCCCCTACCCCAAGAAATAGAAATAAATAATTCATAATTGAGAAGGTCAAATAAGGTCATTTTATATTTATTTATGTTTTACATATATATAGACATGTATAAATATGTAATATATAGATATATTTAATAGAATCATCTTTTACCTTCTATATGTGTATGTGTGTATGTTAAATTATTTTACTAAGATCTTTTATTACTGGAAGAAATAGTTATCTTGGTCTTTACTTAAAATCTTCATCTTTTTACTATATAAAAGAACTTTTCCCAGGTCGCTATGACAAATGTTAGTGTAAAAATTCACACTATTACCTACTACCATTACCATCTGACTTTGAATCTAGTCACTCTGCTTGAAATTTCTATGTCCACAAATAACAGCAGTGGTAATTATATCTAGCTTACTAATGAGAGAATACTGTCTGTATTTTCTAGGTGAGGAAAATGAAGCTCAGTGGTCTAGTTAACATATCCAAGTTCACACACTCAGCAAGTGAAAGAATCAGATCCTAATATTCTGGATGTGTAAGATGAAAACTCATTTTCATATTAGCATTAAGTTTTGAGAGGCTCAAGCAAAGTCAGGGAACACACACTGTAGGCTGTGGGGTGGATGAATGGAGGGCTGAATATAAATACATAAATTTACACACTTACAGAAAGCACATAAATTCCCTGAGTCTCGTTTTCATCTATGAAATGGTGTGATTACCCCTTCATGACCAAAGCCCTGTGCGGTTAAATGAGATGCTTTATTTACACTTCAATTTGGCTTTATTCACTTACTTATTTTTGTTTATGTAGTTTTAAAACAACACTAGAAGAATTTGTTCTCTATTTTTAATTGCTTTATATAAAATGCATGTTTTATATAAAAATCCTATTATCTATAAGTAAGGCTCTTCCTTTCTATTATACAGAGTCAGTATAAATTTTGAAATTATTTTATTAAAGTGACAGGCTCTCATCAGAGTACTTAATATAAGATGAATCTTTGGTTGTCTCATTTTTATTTTTATTGAAAGACTCTATGTAGTGTAATGTATAACCTGATTAGAACTCTAGCATAAACAATTTTTAATGCAAACCAGATTAAAAATCTTATTTAACCGATTATTAATGAGATAACCTAAAAGATTTACAACTAGCTCTGGTATAAACACTTAGATCTTAAAATCATACCATCTAGGGCTGGGGATGTGGCTCAAGCGTAGCGCGCTCGCCTGGCATGCGTGCGGCCTGGGGCTCGATCCTTAGCACCACATACAAACAAAGATGTTGTGTCCGCCAAGAACTAAAAAATAAATATTGAAATTCTCTCTCTCTTTAAAAAAATAATACTATCTAAGTAAAGAGACAATATGATATATATTCAAAACTTTTCTTTGTTTTGTAAATATTTCACATAGGATTCTTTAAAATAAGAAAACAAGGGTCTGTAGCTTAGCGGCAGAGCGCTTGACTAGCATGCGTGAGGCACTGGGTTCAATCCTCAGCATCACATAAAAATAAACAAATAAAATAAAGGTATTCTGTCCGTCTACAACTACAAAAATTTTTTTAAAAAATAAAATAAGAAAACAATAACTGAATGCTTATTTGATGTGTCCTTTAGATTAAATGGCATTGTCTCCCTTTATTGTACAATGGCTTTAGGAGGTATAAATTATTTTAATAACATTTTTACACATTAGGAAGTTAAGGTTTCATTGTCTGAGGTCACAAGCAATTAAGTGACAGCAGGGTATTAAATTCGAAAGACTGTACTCATCTTCCTACTTTGGTTAGAGCCCAGAGGTATGTCTCTAAGGTCACATACTGTTGCAATGGGAATGAGAGGCTTAATTAGGAGGTCTTGATTTTCATTTTAAGTTGTTAACACATGGAGGGGCTTGAGGGTTTTATGATGGTGGAGGACCATGGTGGATTTTCATGCTGATAAGTAATCTAGATCAGTGGGTGAAAGAGTGGGAGTGGGACACGGTTCTCAAGAACACACAGTGGAGAAATAAACTTCGGCAGTGTATAGAAAGGGAAGACAGAGAAAGTCTGTGGAAATGCATTAGAGATACAATTTTTAGATACTGTGACTGACTGGATGCAGGTAGGGGACATAAAATGTAGGGGGAATGACTATTTTTATTTGAGTTTGAAATATTCAAATCCAACAAGTGTTCAGGTATTTGAATAGAAGTCCAACTTGGAAGTACAACTGTTGGCATCTCTATATAGAAGGGGCCATTGAAACCTTAGCATGGAGAGGGGGAATAAATACCAAGGAATTGCTTGAAGACTCCATGGTTCTTATGGATTTTAGGAATTGCCTTTTACTACTGTACCTCAAGTTACCATTTTGGTAATTTGAATAATCCAGGCTCTTGCTAATTGCTCCACATTTGCACTTCTGGTCTTACTTCTACAACACACTCTTAGCTCTTCTTTATGTGGTTGGCTCCTTCTCTTTCATGGAAAAACAACTGCCCTTGTCTCTGATCCACATGGTTACTTCCAGAGCACTTGTTATAATTTGCACTTGATTTACTTGGAATTGTGTTTTGTGTCAACCATTGAGAGGCAAAAGAAAGGCTGGAACCATGGTTTGTCTTGCTCAGAGATGAATCACCATCAACTAGGAAGTACTGGGTATAAAGAAGGCACTTACAGTTTTTGAATGAATGAATGACTGAATAAATAATAAATTGTGGATTTTGATTTTGAGGGATAGTAACATGATCCAAATCTGTCACTCTCTTTACCTCCACATGATCCTTTTGCCCTAGCTAATTCCAAGGTGACTCCCTGAACATTCTATCCTCTTCACATTCTGTGAAATATTAACTAGATTCTCTGATCTGGACTTGTGACCTATTCCTGTCTCTCAAAATTGCTTTCCCAGCACTTGTAACATGTGACAAAAAAACTGTTACATGACTGTTTTCCTTCGCCATTAGAAGAGCCATGAAGTTAGATAGCGCCATGTTCTGGAGCCCTCCTAAAATTCATATGTTGAAATTCTAATCTTCAATGGAATAGAATTTTGAAGTAGGGCTTTTGAGAGGTGACAAGGTCATGAGGGTGGTACACTCATAAGTGGTATGAGTGCCTGCTGCAGTCTGGCTGCAGCAAAATAACGGGGGGGGGGGTGACGAGGAACTTGTGTAGATTGATACAGCAGGAGTGGGAGCCATTTATTGTAGGACTGGAAGGGTATTTATACATTCCACACAGCTTATCTTAATTAACATAAAATAGATACAGCAGTCAACCAATAAGGAGTCTCCACACTTAATGGCTCACTGGCGTTACTTCACAAACCACTCCCTCTGGCAAAATGCCAGGCACCATCTTGACTTGTTTACAGACTCTAACGAGTGCCTTTGTAAACAGGCCCCCAGGAGTTTATTAATACCTTCTACCATGGAGGACACAATGAGAAGAAGCCATCTATGAACCAGAAGGCTGGCCCTCAACAGATATTTTATCTGCCAGTGCATGAATCTTGGACTTCCTCAGCCTCCAGAACAGTGACAAAAATGTTCTGTTGTTTATAAGGCACTCAGTTTATAATATTTTGTTACCGCAGCCCAAACAGACTAAGGCTGGGAGCATTCATACTCTCAACTCTAGTTGAGTGCTTGGTACACGGTAGTTATTTGACCATTATTTGTTGAATAAATCATGGCTGAATGAATAACAGGGGAAAGGCTGGCAGTGTATTAAATATAACCAAGGGCATCTAGAAACATACCCAATTAGCATTGTGACTTGGAACAGATTACTTAGACTGTATAACCATGTCCTCATTCATTTGGGAAATGGTAGTACCTAAGTTTGCTCCCTCTGAAGGATGCATTTGGGCACAGTAGAACTGAATTAGAGAAAGAGGGTAAGGGGGATAGGGAGGTAAACATTGAAGAGCTACTCTTCACCACCCTTATTAGATATGAACTGGCCTTATACATACATTTGGATGGATTCATTGTAGAACTAACCGAAACCTGTTGACATAGGTTGCATTAGTAAAAGAGGCAACAAAAGAGCATGTCTGAAATACTTTATAAAATTTTATTTGATATTATTCAATCATACAGATTTCTATATCTTGCATTTGCCATAAAAATATGCCACAGATTGTTACTTTCTGATTTACTACTTATACATTCATATTAAAATGTGCTATAAAGGAGAGAAAGTGAATTTATGTAATGCTACTTATTGATTATGAAAATAGAGAAATAGAAAAATATTATTTATTAATATCAGAAAATATAAATTTCTTTTTCATTCTATGGCTTTAAATTAAACATAAATGGTAAAATAGAAAGTAGTCAAACTGGTTTTGCAAATGACATACACATTATCAATACTATATTTTTCATTCTTGAATAATGAAGCACATGACTCAGCTGTGTGTAGTTTGGGCTTTGTTTGAACATTAATTGCTATAATCATAAAGGTTACTATTAAAAGCAGATAGAGCAGATCTGTGCACAGTAAAAGAGTGGCATTAACCAGAGTGCCATTGTAACATCTTATTTCATTAGGAACATAGTTTAAATATTTAAAGGAGAATGTCATGTGGTCCACTGGTGAGCAGTTTGGACACCTGTCTCAGGCATGAGTGGTAAATATTCTCACTTTTGGCACCTAGCACCCCAAAGAAGCTATGAGAGCAAGAGGGCCTTCATAAAGTTCTATTAACTCTCTTTTAGACTTTCTTTTCCTGCCATGGTAAATAATTATTTGACTTTCTTCATTTGTACTCTATGGTACTAATTACATTTTCTGAGAAGCAGTATTAAAAATGAAAGGTAATTTTTAATTACAAAAATGTTTCATCAGAAACATTTTCTTGTATGTTAAAGTGTATTTTGTTCCAGAATACTTAATTTCTCTTACAATTAGAAATCAAAGATGGAGCACAGCACAGGGCTATTTGGAAATTATCACAGTAATTGCCATGAAAAAGTTAATTTTTCACAATAGACAACTGACAGTGAACATCCAATTAACTGCTACACAGTTATTTAATAGCTATCCTCAGAAAAGAATTATTCTATTTTATGATCATTAATTGGTCACTGGAATTAGACATTTTTTTAATATAGAAATTTAGTTAGAAGTTGTATATATATTTTAATTGGGAAAGAAGTGAACGCAATGATTACAATTTTAAAAGATAAGCATATGTAGGTGACATTGAAGTTCACAGCAACTGTTTTGCAAATCGCCTTAACACACAGGCTTCACAGCTAAGGGTAAGCCTCTCTGTGGTTCATAAGGTGTTGTCCTGGAAACCATTTTGATGCAGTCGATAATAGGGCAGACACTGAGACAGAGAGTGCAGCCTGTACACTTGTCAGTAATCGTGGGCAGGTGGGTTTCCGGATCAAACTGTATAGCCTATAAACAGAAATAAAGACTATTAATGCTACTGCCACCAGAGTCAAGAATGCCCCCATCTTATCATCAACATTTTTCTCCACTGCAATGGAGCTATACTCAGAGAAAGCAGGGCCAGCACCACTGTAGTGCAACTATAGCAACAGCTGAACTGACAGAGGAGGAAAAAAGAGAGAGAAACAAAATCCTTTTAAATTAGAAACAGAATGTTCAAAATTCCTTAGAGGTATTTTCCTTCTCTGTGTGAGGGAATATTTCATAACACAGTAATTCTCTAGTTTTCTTTGTTCTGAGCAGAGCTCAGGTCTTGCTCATCTAACCAGGACAGGGTGTCTTTCACCTGAGGATGTTGGGGGGTGTTTTCACACATTCTCCTTTTCCTCCTCACATTTTCCTTCTTGACAGTGCAGGGTGTTATTGTCACGTGGGGTCAAGAATGTGCCTGTTTGGATTTCAAATCATGCATGTAGTTTTTATAAGAAAACAGTTTTAAAAAAAACTAGCTTTGTGATTTGAGAATTTTCAAGCTACTTCTAGGCATTGTCCCCCATCAAGGGGACAAATCATTGAATGGAGAGCCAGGATAACTGGTGTCCCACCCTGACCCTGACAGTCCTCAGTTACAAGAACTAGGGCTAGGGCTCAAGCTCAGAAAACTACTTGGGATTTCTAAAAATTGGATAACTTCTTTTTTTTTTCCTTTTTCTTTCAATCCAGGATAAACAATAAAAATACCCAATGTGAAATGAGGCTTGAGAGTTTTTGTAGAGTATGATGATTTCCCTGCCGGAAACCATTTCAACAGTGGGAACAATATGGGAGTCCTCTGGGGAAGGCACAGTCCAGGAAGGACTGTGTGGGGGCAGGTGGCTGGGGCAGAGGGGAATTAGGGACCTGATGTGCAGTCTCACTTGCAGAACAAATTCAGTGTTCACTCAGTCTGTGTACTAATTTGGAGTGACTAGGTAGGGGCTGAGGGTAATTATGTGGGACAGTAAGTATCCCTGAAACCACTTACCCCTGAGGCCAGGTCTGCAAATCTTATATTTTCAAATAATTTTGTGATTGTGATTTTTCTCCCTGTCTCATGTTTGTGTTATAATCCAATTTAAGACACATAGTCATCTCTTGATATTGGGGATTGATTTCCAGGGCACCCTGTGAATACCAAAATCTATGGCTTTTCAAGTCCCTTATATAAAGTGGCATAATATTTGCATATAACCTACACTTATCCCTCCCATTTCTATACCACTGTAGTACCTAATACAATGTAAATGCTATGTACCTCATTATTGCTGTATTCTGTAGGTGATATTGGGGAGGAAAAAAGTTTACACAGGTTTAACACATATGCGATTTTTTCCCTGAATACTTTTGATATGAGGCTTGTTGAGTCATGGATGTGGAGCCTGTGGCTATGGAGAGTCAACTGCAATATTTTGTTGTTCCTTAAAAAGTTCACACTCAAATGATGTTACATGTAACCATATTTTTCCCCTATTTCCATTGTAAATCATGATGTTGTTAATATGCAATTGGTTTGATTTATATTTGAATCATAACTATAGCTATAACAAATCATAAGATAATTTGTCCACATAAATTGTTGTTATACTTTGTAAAACACTTCAGATTGCTGATTAGGTAGGTAAAAGTGATTTTTCTTCCTTATGTACCCCAATTTTATAAGCAGCAAATCAATGATAAAAATGATAAAAACTTATGCTAGAAAACCTTATACTTTAAAAACTTGCAAAAATACAAACTTCAGATTCAACTGAAGTTTTAATTTTATATTCAACTAAAAGTTTTAATTTTCTATTTTTTAATCTTTTGAGAGAAAAGAGTCAAAGAAGCACTTTCCAAATTTTTTCTAACATATAATTGTGATCTTTTTTTATTAATAGGAGACTTATTACTAAAGTTGCTTAAGACTAGAATTCCAGGGTAGCAGTTATATGCTAAGATTTAAAGTATTACAACCATGATGCTATCTATGATAGTTCTAGGACTTTACTTTTTGAAGATGGGGCATTTTATTATTTATCTAGAAAATTCCATTCATCATTTCTTAAAAACCATTTTATTTTATTTCTATATATCTTTTAAAAATTAATAAAAATAATATAATTCAAAGTTTTTACCAATTTTAGTAGGTTAGTAATTTTGAACAAATTTTTAAATTTGCTTTCTCCAAAATCCATATATTAAAACATTCTTTCACTTTCACAATAAGTCAGGCCCTTGAAGAAAAAACTTACATTTAAAGCTATTGTTATTATAATTTTTATTCATTTCTAAAATTCAATTAGTTCAAGATCATAATTGTGTCATGCTCTGTCAAAAACAGAAGTTTATAAATGCATAGGAGATAATTGAAGACATAAATCAAAAGTTAAGGAGACGTTCATAGGACATGTTTTCAAGAGGACAACCCACCCCAAAGAAGCTGAATACCCAGTTGAATACCCAGTTTGTCTGTCTTTCTCTCTCTCTCTCTCTCTCTCTCTCTCTCTCTCTCTCTCTCTCTCCCTCTCTCTCTTTCTTTTTTTTAACTACAGTAGACTCTTTGCTGAGGAACAAGGACCCGAGAAGGAACCATGGCTCCCTTGATGTGGTAAAGATTACATTCTGTGTACTTTACCAGGTACAAAGACTTCCTGGGACCAACCTTCACAACTGGTGGTTGAAAGTGCTTTTCCTTTGTTGCTGTAGTATAAATGCTCTCAGTATTGAGTGGAAGAGAATTCTCTTTAGGCAGAAGGAATCAAGCCCTTTCAGGGTAATGGCAATGAATGGAGGTTCTTCTGCCTTCTCTTAGTATCAAAACGTAGACTTTACTCATGTCCATCATTTTCTGTGAGTTTCTTTTCAGCTGGATTTCTCCCTCCAATTTTATGGATGATAAAATGATATTAAAAATAATACTGTGCACTAAAGAGTGGCATAGTTAGTATCAGTTATTATTTTTCTTAAAAAAAAAAACCAACTATGCTACAAGGCTGAAAAGACAGAAAGATGTGCCTTTGCAGAGGAGCAATACTTGGCACATCTGCTTTGTCCTGCACACTTAGCAACAGAAGATACTTTTCTCCCTGACCTTAGCCCCTACTTCCTTATAAACAAGAAAAAATAAAAAATAAAAAAATACAGCAAAAGAAACATGCTTCATAGCATCTTATTCCAGCAGGATTCTTACCTGGTAGCCAGAGTCATTACAGGTCATGTAGCATTTACCACAGTTGATACACATTTCTTCATCGATCATAGCCACAACCTGCTCTGTGATGCTCAGTTCACCGTATGCTCCAAGGTACTGCAGTGCTCTTCCGATTACCTCCTAAAAGACAGACAACAGATTACTCAGTGCTTGTTTTAAAACATTTCCATGTTTTAATATAACGTATTGCAAAAATACAAAACTTCAGATTCAATTGAAGTGTTAATTTTACATTCAACCTTACGTTCAACTAAAGTTTAAATTTTCTATTTTTTAATCTTTAAAAAAATAGATTGCAATCAGAGACTTTAGGTATTACAGTGCTTAGATGAGGACTCCATAATTGTGGCTTACATATTTCTGAAAGATGGGCAATATGCATGTCAACTTTAGAAATAAAAGACAATTAACTACATTCAGTAAGTTTTCTACTGGATAACCTAAAACAGAATTTCAGAAAGCAGGAAGGGGAAATGATACATTTTCATGTTGTTAGTGCTTGCTTTTTCTCAGATTTGGATGTTGAAAGTAATGAGAGATGTTAAAAGGTAATATACTTATACTAGAAAATGTTAGATTGCTAGGAATGCAGGGAATAAAAGTCCAAATTCTATATATTTATATCACCATAACTGAATGCTAGATTTTCATTTAGAAAAAATTGCTTTGAGAGCACACTCACCTGTCGTGTTAGAAGAATATATTGCATTATTTAAAAATTATAATGTATGCTAATTCATTAGATTGATCCAATAGTTAAATTAAATGCTCTTTTACTTTAAAGAACTGAAATTTCTTCATTCACTGCTGAAGATCTTTCATGCAGTTACACATTGCTTTGTTCTCCATATTAATTGGAAGTATGCTTAATATGTGAAGCACAGAGGATGTTTCATCAACAATAAGAAACACTTTGTTTCACAAAACAAAACAGAATAATGTAACAATGTTTGTCAAATTAGTATGCTGTCAAGATTTTTCTGCTTTTGTGTTTTAATTTTTAAAATAAGACTCTTTTGTTTGAATTCAAGGTCCATGTTGAAGGAGGTTTGACTCTCACTTAATGCCATCGTTCTATATTCTCTTTGGTATTTTATTTTCTGCACTTCTTTTTGCGACCTTGGTTACCCTTCTTTACCTTATTTTCTACTTGAGCTCTAAATGACAATACGCTTATTACCATGAGCTTTCGAACTGAGACTAAGTTTACATTATTTATACAGTTCATTTGTGTACTCTCAAGTTGTAAGATGATAGAAAAAGTTTCAATACTGTCTTGCCTACTTTCTTTTCAATGTGTTGAAGTTGCCATTTCAACTATACTGCAGTCTGTTTGTAGGTGGGCGCTTGAGGTCCAAGACAATATGGCCATTCTGAATCACTCTCACAAGCTCAAGGTCCACATTTGTCAGCTACATGATGAGCCTTCTCTCTCAACACTGGTAGTGCAAATTCACCACTAACTGAACCTATCATTAGGGACTTAAAACTAGATCTTCCTACAGATTTCCTAGTTTTTGAACACCATTAGGAATTTTCTAGTCATGCAGAAGCTTAGAATTTCAATTATATTTTACTCAAATGTCTCCCTTCTAATATCTCCTTTGTTGTCACACCCTTGGAGTTCAGGATCTACCATACCTTTTGCATTCTCTGTCTTTTCACATCTTTAAACATTACTCATTAACTTCTAATCATTTCTAATGGGGTTGTAAGAATCTACCTGGTAAGTGTCCTCCTCATATTCTTCCTTTCTCACTCCTCCCTATGCAATGCTGCCATCTTAATCATGGTTGCAAAGGTGCACACTAAATTTCTCACTACCTTGCTCAAACATTTGCTGAATTAAGTCCAGACTTACCAGGCTGGCATTTTAAGATTCCTACCAAGTTGTCTTTTTCTGTGTAGTTTCTCTCTTCCAAACACCATTTACTTTAGCAACACTGTATGCATCTGGGGAACATCTGACTCATCTAATTTTATGTGTAATCCTCTATGCAAAATACCTTTTCTTCTTATCTCCTCTTTGAAAAATCCCATATGTATTGCAAACTATTGTGGTTTAGATATGAAGTATCCCCCCAAAGCTCATGTGGGAGACAATGCAAGAATGTTAAGAAGTGAACTGATTAGTTTATGAAAGTTGTGACCCCATTAGTGGATTAATCCACTAATTGATTAACTGGGGATAACTGTAGGGAGTTAGCATGTGGCTGAAGGAAATCAGTCACTAGACATGACTTTGGGGTTTATATTTTGTCCTGGTGAGTAGAGCTCTCTTTGTTTCCTAGTTGCCATGTCGTGAGCTATCATACCCTTCTGCCATGCTCTACCTCACCTTGGGCCTAGAGCTCTGGAGTCMGCTAACTGTGGACTGAAACAATGAGAAAAAATAAACTTTTCTTCCTCCAGGTTGTCCCTGTGGGTCATTTCATCACAGTGATGAAAACCTGACACACAGAAATTTCCTCAGTTGTGACTATTTCATGAGAGGTTTCTCAATTCTTCCTTCTCTTTTCCTAACTAAATGTTAAAATGTGATCTTTCTCCCTCTCCTTCTTCCTCTCCCTTCCCCATCACCTACCTACCTTCCTTTTKCCTTTGCTCTCTCTGTCTCAACCTCTCTCCCACCCTTCCTTCATTTCCTCTCTCTTTTTTTTTCTAACGTTCAATGAAATTTTATGTTTTAGTGAAGCTCATGATAATAGAGCACTTTTGAATCTTTACTGTTTTTCAGGCCAGTGCCATAATTTCTAAACATTTTCTCAGTTAAAGTTCATGAATTTTATGTAGAGTGAGGTGTCTGTGATTTAAGATATAAAATTAAGTAAATGATAAAGCAGGGATTCACACCAGTGCTGCCTGACTTCAAATACCATGATCATAAGGTGACACGTTTGTTATTCTCCATTTAGTGAGTGTTCATGTTATAGATTTTCCAAGGCTAGCTTCCTGGGTTGCAATCTTTTAGTGGGCTTTATTTTTGTATTAAGTGATGTATCTTGCTTTTGTAGAGCATTGAAATGTAATGGGTATTCAAATATTGAAATAAATTTATCTTTTGTATATCTATGGGCTAAACAGAGAGTAGGTACATAGGTGGGGTAGTAATTATTTTATTGAACATTTATATTTATATGAGATTTTCAMATACAAAAGAGGCAAGGAATCTGAACATGTTTAATATTTTCTAAAAATATTTTAAGATAGCCAATGTATGAGGTTGCTATCACTATTTAAAGCAATATTTAAAAGACTATTTACCTGTTATAGAACATATTTTTTTAGATCAAGTAAATAAATCAATGAAAACAGTTGTTTTACTCAATCAGATCATGATGACTGAAATCACCACTAAATATTCAAAAGATGATTTATCCGGAAACTCCCGGATAGTCATCAAGCTTTAGAGATTTTTCAAAATAAACAATATAGATACCTATGAGATCTCATTGTAGGAAGCAAGTACATATTCTGTGCATATTAAATATGCCTTTTATTCTGTATTAGATATTTGCTGCTATAATTTAAGAACAGCATTGTTTAATGTGAAATCGAATGATACAAGGTCTTTAGGGCCTTTAGAAGTTCTTTAGCACATGGTATCAAAAAAATCATTCTTGTTTATTATAGTTCTTGAAGAAAATGTTATGTATTTATTTAAATCTGAAAGTGGATAAAAACTATTTTAAATCATTTTTGGAAGGAGTATGAAAGAAAAAAAATATCATTTTGTATGGCTGAAAATGTGGACATTTGTTGAAATCCCAAAGCCTCCCAGTATACTGCTAGCTTATGAATACCCTTGAGTACACGTCTTGGAATTTGGAGATTACAGAAAGTTGCATATAATCAGGAAAGCACACATGGCTAGTAGGGTCCCTCTTGGATACACATCTGCAGAGATTAGGGAGCCTACACTCATTATTCCATAGAGGGTGTGAAGACACAAAGGTTGTGCAGTCTGTTATAGCTGTTCCTGATTAGTGGAACTGTTTATGTGTGGATATGTACGAGGAGAAAGTGATGCTAAATACTTGAAATTAAAGATGTGTTATTTGAATACAGGTGTTCATAGAGTTAGCATTATAAAGGAGAGTGGATTTCCAGAATCTTCTCTATAAATTAATTCTTTGTTCAGGATATTTAAATGATTTTTTTTTTACTATTAATCAGTCAGTACATCTGCTTGATATAAAGTTTAGGACCAAAGAGTGAAGAACTAGAAGGACTTGACCCCATTCCTGATGTTTCCGGCTTTCTCCATTAGGATTTATATAAATGTATTCATTTTTGACCTTTCTGAAAATACAGTTGAAGTATTTTTAAATTGTGATTATTATTTGGCATGTTAACTGTTCTATTTCAAATCTTCCCATTTGATTAGCATACTTTCTATAATTCCCATAAACATGTGCTCTTCGAAGGCCAGAACCAAGGACAGCATACTGTGGGCAATTGCTGTAACTTCTAACCTAAAGAGACCCACTGTTTAAATTATTTGGGTGTTTAGCTGGCATGGTGGCCCACACCTTTATTCAGAGGCTGAGAAGGAAGAATCACAAGATCAGGGCCAGCCTGGGCAACTTGGTGAGACACTTGTCTCAAAAAAATAAAATATTTAAACCAGCAAAAAGTAAACTATTTCTAGTTTAATTACATAAGCATTTCTTTACCTTTACCATTATAAGTGTCACATGTTCTTATCTTTTTTACCATGTTTGCTCTTTGCCAAATAAACCCATCCAAATAGGAAATAAGACAATTTACTTATCTTACTGAATTTACGCTCACAGAATTTATGCTGATTCTTAATAACTTCTTCCTTTATTAATGCTCTTAAGGCAAAAGTTTAATGATCTTTGTAGAATTCTTTTGGGATTAAATCTCAAGCTCCCTGATCTACTCCTATATTTTCTCCACTCCATCATCCCTCCCACATCCACCTTTGACTTTTTAAAAATCCTGGAGCAACATTTATTTTTCAGCAGCGTGGTACCGTAATCACATACACAAGGACTTTCAAAAACACAGCCTGCAGCTCCTTCTTGATATCCCACCTCATGCCTTTCAGTGGGGAGGCAGGGAAGAGGCTGCACACTTAGAAAGGAGAGGCTGAC